CAGGAATTGTCTTCAGATTTCCCTTGAGCCATTGAGGGCAGGGCGCTGCTTGCCTCCTCACCTCTGAACAACGGTCGGGCACATCTGTAGTGCTATGGCTAAATGCTTAAGATCAGCAATGGAGAGCTCATAAACAAACTTCAAAGTAAATACTTTACCAGGCATATGTAAGTACTTATTAAGATTTATATCATGTCTTCAGTGTCCTGGACATTCTACAATAGTGTTTATTTCCCTGCTTGCTATTCACAGAACTGGATAATCTACAAGGAATTTACACAATAGAAATGAGCAAGATTCTTGGGCATAATTTCATAAATACGACATTAGCACAACAACATTCTAATGTAAACACACACAATGCTAAGTAGGAATAAAGCATTTCCTAAGGGCAGAGGAGGTCCTGTATGCCATTGAACGAGCGCTGTGTGACAACCCGCAAGGAGCTCGCTGAGGGTGAAAGGACCCCAGCTTTGTTCCACACAGCAGCGCTCTGCACTGCCTCTCCAGGCTAAACACACAGAGGAAAGAGGCTGGGAATTAAGTCAGTGAATCAATGACCCTCCAGCTGTATCAGTCCAGCACTCTTGTCAGGGAGGGGAGATAAAACAATTCCAAGGCTAAAGCAGCTCTGTGAAGCTGGTGGGATCTAGTCTACAAACGTGGCCTCCTTTTTTTCCAATGAAGAAAAAACCCAAGAGTGGTCTGTGTATTGTGACCATGTATAAAGTCCAACGTGTGGCTTGTATTCACAGTTATTAGTGCTCACACATAAGATTACAATGAAAATAAATCCCATTATAATGAATAATTCTATTTTCACATGGTCACTAATGGGACATTAAAATCATTCTGAGACATCATTTCATAGAGACACCTAATGAAAATGTTTCCAACAAAACTCTGTAAAAATTAAACTGGGCGTTTAAAGATTCCTCCGTCACGCAAGGGAGTAGCTGTGAACAGTTCTGGAGAAGGCACACACTGTAACCAGACGCTGGCTTTTGTTATTCTATTATAGATATCAGAGGTGTTCGCTTTTTTCCCCTGACTCACCCTTTTCTCTTGTGGGTATTCTGACCCTTAGTCCTGGCAAATCCAGCAGTACCAAAAAGCGCTCTCCAGCACCTCATTAATCACTCCCCTGCCATGTGCTATCTTACCTGCAGATGTAATTCTTCTTGCAGGATTCTTGTAAATTCAGGCAGTTTGGTTTCTCCCTGTCCTCATATGAACACACAGGAACAATAGTCTGCCGTCTCCTTTCTGTACAGGCTACGTCTCGACAGGAGCAGAAGAGCATCCCGTAGCTGTGCTTTGGGGGAACTTTGTCAAAAAATAGCCGGAGGGCCTTATGACACTTCCGCTTGTTACAGATTTCATTAGACGTGCTGCTGGTGCAGGGGGTTATGTAAGCAGATCTGAACCTCTTGCAGGTATCATTTAGGTTACAAGCTTTGGCTGCATCCAAGCAATTGTTCCCCTTTGAAAGTACTGGCTCCACTAGAAAAAACAACACAACAGCAGTAAGAAATGCGTCACATTTATATTGTGTTTTGATATTTGTGTTTATTTCATTGTTAATGAGATTCTAATTATAAATTTGTTACATACAAAACTTTCAGTGCCAGAAATTGTGACCAGTCCTTATGTTTCTCAGGGTAATGGTTTAACAAGTGAACAAGAGCACAGGCATGCGTTATGATCAGAATGCTGGCAAATAAATGACGATTACACCAGGGAGGCTGTACTTCATCTTCTTTGTAGCAGAAATGCAGGATGAATATTGGTTAAGACTTGGCCTCACTAAAAAGCTATTAAAATCACTGGTAAATTGGAAGGGATACATTTGGCCCATCGCACAGGAACACAGTGAGAACGTGGGCTCCTAACTCTGATTTTGTAAAGCTCTGACATTCTTTAAATTCTTCCCTTGAACCGTATAAATGACATTCAGTGTCTACACCAGGTAACAACATTTAAATGTACTTTGTGTACTCTGCAGAATGTAAAAGCCACATGCCTGTTACCACAGTTTTTGAGGTCTGAAAACAGCCCACCCAGACAGAAAGGAAAGCAGGTGCAGCCCCACGACTGAGCTCCCTCCGGCCACCCACAAGGCGTGTAAGCTCCATGCTTAGTTAAAGGCAATTTTTTTAAGATCTATAGATGCCACCCGAACCCTGGAAACTTCATGAAGTTTACAAGCTTTGAAGAAGTTGGAGTAGAATTAATAAGTGATTGTGAAAGAAACATTTTAAAGCAAGGAGCGTGTCTCTCTCACACACATGCACACACTACAAGAAGTAATACAAAAACATTAAACTCAGATAAAAGTTAAAGACTATAATTACGCATTTAATTTTAAAATATATTATCCAGATACTAAAGTCCAATATATGCTTTGCATGAAAATGAAGGCCACTGACAATATAATGCAAAATTCAACTAAGAATAATCGTAATGCTGCTTTGGATATTAGGAACGCCAACATCACAGATCCAAGAAAATATATTCACTTCCCATTGCTACAGAATTTACAAGCTGAACAAAACATTCTGCAGATATCTAAAACTCTCCAGCAACCTCTTAGGGAGGCTGTCCAAAGAGAAAAACATCTCAAATGATCTAAAGCTCAGTTCCTCTTAAAAAAATATTATCTAAATCTTCTACCTTTTTCCAAAAACTCAGTCCAAGACCCTTCTACAACTCAATGCCACCCCTCTCCATTCTCCTACCACTCTGTGTCCGATTCCCAGATCAGGACAGCAACCTTTTCCCTTTTTCCATGGCAGGGAAAGCTGATGCAGCCTGGCTGACGTGGTGCACTGAGGTACTGCATTTGTTTGAATGGACTGAGCCCAAGAAGGGCCTTGGGTGCTAGCACACACTTTGTATTATACAAATATATCACCTGCTGCTGTCCCATGTATCTGATCTATTAGGAAATAACACAACGCATAAGTAGCATTGAACTTGTTTTTCACTCTAGTGATACGCTGTAACTACGTTCAGTGGGTTCGTACACTTAACCTTTGTAAATTGAACATTCACACTCCAAGCCCTTCCCAATTTGTTTCTCACACAATAAACTTCAATTTTTTGCTTCTTATCTTCATAAATTACAAAATATATTATAAACATGCAACATTTGACTATAAATTAAGAGCCAAGCATTTCTTATGATAGCAGCCTAGCACAATTTAAGCAACACCAGATGCAGAAATGATAGCCAAAATACAACCCTCTCCTAAAATTGTAACATTTTTGTATAAAATGTTGTATTACATTAACATACAACTATAATCTTAACTATGAATTCTCAAAGTTTTTTTATACAGTATATAGAATTATATGTTTAGTACAAATATAATTACTATGTAATCTGCAGGGCATATAATTATGCAATATATGAATAGTACACGCTAATTACTATGTGATTGCGGAGTAATTAGATGGTTATTTGTGCCTGGGAGTCAACTGCTGAATTCCACTCTTTAAAACATGCTTCTGCGGTAGAGATCTGAATGGAGCGTTGCAATACGAACAGACATCAGCTTACTGTATGATATATGATAAAGCATGCTTTAAAAAAAACCCAAGATGTAATAAAGCACCTCTTTGCCGATAATCACGTTCATGTTTTCCATTTCCAAAATGTAGTAAACGCTGCTACAGAATTAAAAAGCACTGTGAGTATGAACACCTCAAAAATCAAAAAAGACAGGTTAATCAATCTTTTTAAAAAGCAGAGCATAAGCCAATTCACTGACAGCGCAAACAGCAGTGAAGTTATCTTGGATGAAAGTTGAATTAGGTGTAAATTGTTCACAAACAATAGTTATGCATATTCATATCTTTCATGCAATTTATATCTACCCAAGTCTCACACTCCTCTACGTGACAACTCTGAACATGGACCAGGTTGTTTTGGGTTTTGTTTTTTAAACCAGCCCTGGCTATAACTTGCCTTTTGCATTTTGATACGTATGCCTCTATCTGTTGTTTCTGGCATATTCGTCACCACGTTGTACAGATTACTTTTACCTTTTAAAACCAAGACTAACATACAACACGTAAGAGATATGCATCAGCTGCATTTAAATTGAACAAGATTGACTAAACCAACTCTTCTCACTAATGCCCACTTCTCCCAAGATTTTAAATCATGTTTTAATGCAAAATTTACAATCCAGAACACACTTTATGCTTCACTTTTATTGCAAAACTACAACATAATTATTCCTAAGTCCCGTGGTAACTACAAACAGTTAATAATACTGAGAGTGTTTCTGAGGATTACTTACACAGCAGTAATACATAAGGTCAAAATTTCACCCAGGTTCTGTTCTGCAAAGCTTGAATTATTAAGACAGGCAGGAGTTTGGCTCTTACTAGGTACTGACTACGTTAAGAGCAAATGGATCTAATCCAGAGCTACTTTTACTGCCAGCATCCTTTGGGAAAGGTTTGTGTAAGGAGATCCTTTTCCAGCTCCCCCTCTCTTGGGGCACTTGGATATGGACTGAGGGCGGTCAGATCAGCAGCCTGGGACAAGTAACAATTCCTTCCCACCACCATTTCCCCACCCAGAGCTTCCTCTCTCCTAAGTCTGCTTTGCCTTGGGCCCATTTGGGAAATCGCTGCCAAACCACGCAGCTCTCCGCTCCTGCAAAATCCCTGCAGACTCCAAGGCAAGTTGCTCCCAGGCAGGTGACAAGCGATGTCTTACGCCTGTCTGCAAGGCACTGCTGCCCCCCGGCGGCAAGGGGCCCGGCAGAGCAGAGCCGCCAGCACCAGGATGCTGCCTCCCAGAAGTCACCAGCAGCCGCGAGCTGCTACGGGCGCTACCCCGGTGCCGTGCATGCAGAGCCACGGCAGAGCCCAGCCAGAGCCGGGAGCTGCTGCCTTGGTGGGAAAGCAGCAGCTCCCAACATCCGTAGAGCCAGGATGCCCAAAAATGTCCTCTGACCAGGCAGCTTGGTGTGTGCTATGTGCAAAAACTCTGGGGCAGCAATAACTGGCTTACTAACTTCAGCCAACTACGGATATGATACTAACTTACCGCTACCTATCACCAGTTCACAGCTCTTCTACCAGGTACCACAAGCGTGCAAGGTGAGATGTTTTTCTGATCAATTTTACTGATCAAAAAAACAGGCCTTGCAGCGTAGTATAAGGTATTACCGCTTTGATATTTGTTATCTCCTGAATCACTCCCACCCTGGCCCAACGTTGTTGCAGTTGCAACAGTTCTGGACTTGAGCTCCCGTACGACAGCAGGAAGGAGGCAGCCAAACACTCCAGTCTTTGATCCAGAGATGTTTCTGAAGTTTTAACAGGGCTTCCTCTGCCCCGTGTGATCTTCCCTATGCTTCATCCTCTTTCACAGCCTCTTCCCCTTAATCTTTCATCTCCTTGCATTTCCATTTTTATTTCATTTCAGCACCTACTGAGCCTTTGGCTGTCTCCTCAGCTCCTGTTAACCCCATGGTGCACAAGAAGGGATTCTCGGTGGATATTGGCAGATTCTTATTTGTGCTCCCACTAGATGGAAGAAGTGAAAGGACTATTACTTGTTCTATCAGATTCTTATTAAACAGCAAAATGGACACTTAGTTTTCAATTTTCTTACAGTACATAAAAAGCAATTTACTGAAGTTGCCATTAAAATTACAATTACTATTTGCAAGTGATTAGCTTTAGCAGGTTTTCTACGGTTTTTAGTGAAGGGAATGCTGTAAAGAGAGCAGCAAATGCTAATGTGATGGAAGGCAAAATTATAAAGTGATAGAGGTGACCACACAGGTACAGGTCTACTTCAATGCAGGTGAAGAATATGGCATATAGGAACCGAAAACTGATCAGAATAAAGAGGAGAACCATAATCCCACTTCAACAAAAGTGCTGCTATGGGGTTCACCAAAGTACTTCTGCTTTGTAAGAACAACAGATTAAAAAAATTAGGAAAGCATGGGAAATATTGTCATCTGCATCTTAATGGATTCAAATAAACTACAGTTTTCCTGGACAAATTATTTCTAATCCCAAATGGCAGAGAAAAAAAGAAGTCATCCCCAAGAAATCATGAGAATGATGCACATAGATGTGCATGTTATTCTGAGATTCTGCTTGTCTTCTACTCAGCCTTTAGAGAAGAGTCAGGCCTACTTCAAACCTTTTCCATAATCATGATAAGCAGGTGATCTACCTTTTAAAATTAAAGCTAAAATTAAACCCAGGGCTTTCAGAGTACTACCAAATACAGAAATATGCATGCTGAAATTACAACAGATGGCAGCAGTAGATACACCAGGTGACAAGGATGTTGAAACTGACTCCTGTGTGCAGAAGAGCACACCCAGGGCTAGAGCAACAAAAGGACCTAAACCACAACTTGTCTAAACTGAGACTTCAGGTTCCTGAGACCAAAGCTGGAACATTTTACACTCCTGGTCAGTCCTCCCCAGTGCTAAGCATGCAAGTCTTTGATAACGCAAATT